GAATACATTCCAAATTCAGCAAAAAAGTGAAAGAACACCTTAACATCCTGTACTCCAATGAGATATAAAAGCTGAGTTGGTTTGGGCACATTGTGAGAATGGCGGATGACCAATGGCCTAAAAAGTTACTTAAGTATATACTGTGGAAAAGGAGGAAGGGCAATCGACTAAAAAATAGGATAGGAGTTATACATGAGGCAAAAGCGGCCAGAGGACTCCTAGAGGAAGACAACTATCACAAAAAGGAATGGTGGCAGAGATTGTTAGGCTATGACATACATAATAGTTTTGTAATAAATATTAATTATGTGTGTGTTAATTTTTGTTTTAACTATTTTAATATTCATTAGTGTTTTTTTTTTAACTGGTCAATTAGTTCTTAACATGGTGATTTTTTAAATATTGTAAATTAGTTATCATTTTCATATAAAATTACCTTTAGCTGTATTAATTTGTAGTTAATTGGAACTTTGTAATATTTTGATATTTTAGTCCTTAAATAGTATTTCATATTATATTATAATATATCCAATAATAAATATATATTGTATTTCCTGTTTTTATTTATCACATTATGTTTTAATTATTTTGGTTTATAAAAAAATAAAGAAGTTTATTTAATTTTTAATATTTTTTTTGTTCAAAACATTTTGTAGGCACATCAGTGCACTTGAATATTTTACACGTTTTATTGCATATTTAAAATTTTTTTCACCATACTTTATATTTTATTACTGCAACTTAGATGAATTTTTATTGCATACTGTATGGTTGTATACTTGATTGGAACTTTGTAATATTTTGATATTTTAGTTCTTAAATAGTATTTCATATTATCTTATAATATATCCAATAATAAATATATATTGTATTTCCTGTTTTTATTTATCACATTATGTTTTAATTATTTTGGTTTATAAAAAAATAAAGAAGTTTATTTAATTTTTAATATTTTTTTTGTTCAAAACATTTTGTAGGCCACATCAGTGCAATTGAATATTTTACACATTTTATTGCATATTTAAAATTTTTTTCACCATACTTTATATTTTATTACTGCAACTTAGACGAATTTTTATTGCATACTACATGGTATATTTGGTGGACTTTTACTAAATACTTAATCAGGACTCTGCTTATTATTATTACTGTATTAGAAAGTAGCAATGAATATTTTCATTAAAATATATCATGTTATGTTATCATTTATTATTAGTATTCTTAAATTTTATTAGTTTATCAATTTGTAAATCTAATTATTTTTAAGGGCAATTTCATTACTTATAACCGCATTAAATATTTTACCTTAATTTCTTATTTATAAAAGGTGTATTTAGGTAATTAATTAATTATAATACAAATTATAATGACTTGAATGTTTATTCAAAACAATTAATCACTTTCTAGATACCTAACTCTACAGAATGTCATTCAAACCTAAAGATGCAAAACTAACTTTAATCTAATCACCCTATAACATCTTGATGGTGAATAATTAAAACATTAAAATACTATAACATTAATAACCTACCTTCAGAAAAATCCTCCGGAGTGGGACTCCATTTACCAGGCTGAAGATACAACACAGGAATGTCCACCATATCAGAATTATTTTCACTCATAGGATCTTCTGTCTTGATTCTTTTAATCTAAAAAAAAATATGTTAGAAGAATCTTATTTATTAATCATAAAATATAATGATTATTTATTATTTTATATTTAATATGAAAAACGATACAGACACAAATAATGACAACTTTTAATGTCAATGAATTCAGTATCTGTATCTTATTGTAATCAAACCTAAACAATATTATGAACTTACCTTAATTCATTTAACTTCTTTTGTTTTCAGTAGATGTTAAATGAATTGTAGAATCACTCATCGAAGTATATGTTCATCAGATTTTTCTTTTCTATAATTTTTCTTCTTATATATTCAATCGATCTTATATATTCAAGTTGAAAATACAAAATCATTTATACTATTAATTTTTAAGATAAAGATTTTAACTTCATTAAATAATAATGTATGTATCAAATTTTTAAATCCGTATTTTCATTCAGATATGTTAATTTTAATGTTCTTCTTAATCTTACTAAAATAATATGAATCCACGAATTCATGGGAAATAATTATTAATTTTATTATGATAGAATGGATTACAGACTATACACAACTCATATCCATGAATATATTAAAATTAATACTTGCTTATGCATTTGATATTGATTAACTTATTATTTTACTTTCTTGTAATAAATGTAAGAACTGTTAAATTTTTTTTCTTAGATAAAAAACAACTTGACATTATAAATAGACACTGGTGATTTTAAAGGTTTGTGACCAATAAAAGGTAATAATCAAACAACTTTTCATTCATAGCAGAAATGAGTGGTCCATTCTCCAAGTAATTCAAAGAGCCAATGTTTAAGCTGAGTGAGTGATGGGAGACTCAACAGAAAAAAATGTAAACTGAATTTTACCTGTAAAAACACATCCACATCTCCCACAGAATTAAAAAAATTCGCAAAGGGGTGAGTCAAAAGTTATTTTATAGATTCCAATAAATGATGTGTTATGAAAAAGATAAATATTGAAGGGAGCGAGTGGTTCTAATTTACAGCAAAATATTTTTAAGAGGTTATGAGAATTTTACACATGGTTCGAAGCAGCCGCACTACAACTTGGTACATATACAACATTGGTACTAGGATTAGTGGGAGAAACTAGTCCTTATCCTTAAGTTGACCTTATTGTTCTTTTTGCCCACTCCTGACGACTAGCTGTTGGTTGCTGTCATGTAATATCCATGTGCAATATGTCATAGTGTTACCCGCTTAAACATTCTGGTTTGAATCTGGCCTGAGCAAGTTGAAATTTATTTCATGGCAGACCAATGGAATACATCTTGGCCTTTCCACTCTGGTTAGAATAAGTTTGGTGGTACCTCTATAATGACCTTCCCTACTTAAAAGAAATGGCAAAGTAAGAAGTAACAGAAAAAACAAAAAAAGAGTGGGAGTATCAATATTCATTTCTGAGGGACACCGCAAAATAAATATTGACCGACCCAGTTAGGAATCAAATCAACTATGTTTTGAACTTGGCATTCTTAGACTCATGCCCCAAACAAGCTTATCCATCATATCCTCACCACTACAATACAATACAGACAATATAAGTAAGCAATATTTTGAATTAACACAAAATGAAACAGCCATAAGAAAAATTATTAACACATACATATCACACAAATATTAAATCATTACATAATTAGGTATTTTATTACTTTAGGATCTACATCTGGTATTATTCTCTAATTAGTATTTTAATACTATACATGTATTAATAAAGTAAAGAGTAAAAAAATAAGTAAATTATGCGAGATCTCAATGTTTCCTGTTGGTTACTACACTTCCGTATATCCATCCAATTAAATTTTAAATTAAAAAATATTAACATTAACTTCATTATTGAAGATAACAAAATTTAAAGATATGCATCAATATATTCAAAACTTCATTAAACTCCAGATTATCACTAACAATATTTCCAATAAGTAGATTAGCATTTATGTATATTAGCTTTGAATATGTTTCCATGGAGATATGGAGAAAGAGAAAAAAAAAACGTTAAACTCACCGTTGAATGAAACAATAATGTTTAAGCTCTCTAAGCTAGACTATACACTTCTGAGGCATAAAATGCCTTTCCAGTGTTGGTTCAATATATCAATAAAAAACATATGACATCAAATACAAGAACAAAAAACCTCACCAACTTTAAAAAACAAAGAAATAATTGTTGCTGACATGCTGATCAAAGCAACTATCCTTGAACAAAACAATACATTATCGCACAACATTATGATACAACCCTTAATGGAAACTTCTAAAACGATGAGTAATAAAAAGGAATACGACAAACAGTTCTTATTTACGATAAACAATATTTTAGATTATAATTTTTTTTTTTTCGTGTTTGTAAAATTCTGAATACTTAAACAGATCTTATATTATTACTAAAACAACTTTTTATAAGTAGTTTTAATTCCCTTATGTATCATATAACATTTCGGCACTCATTGCGAATTTGAAATATTTAAAAAAATCAAAAACAAAAGTCATAAAATCATGAAAAGTTTTTTTCTCCGATATACTATATGGAAGTTTTCATATTTTCTGTTTAGTACAAATTTCTTTTTGTTAGTAACAATTTTCATGAAAAATAGTATATTAAATCATTAAAAAAATTTTGTGATTTTTTTGTTTATTAATTTTTGGTAAAAAATGCTGAAATGTTATATAATACACAGAAAAAATAAAATTTCTTATTAAAAAGATGTAATATTAATGAAATAAGACCTGTGAGTATACATGTAATCTTTGACAACAAAATTAATTGTGAGATGATTAAATCTTTGTAATTATTAAATGTAAAAACACATGTTCAATACAAGATTGAGATTTAGAACTCGATAAATCTAATAGTAGGCAAATATATAAAAACTATATTGTAAAAATGCTGACCTTGAATCACAAATATATTTTTTGTTTATAGTCCTACAGTGTAAACAAACAGTATATGCAGACAAAAATAAAGTGATTTCTCAAAGGAGATTAAGTATAAATATAAATGGCACAAAGGACAAATATGATATTTATAATAACATTGGAACAGTATGACACCTATTAACATATGGTAAATAGTTTAATTATACCAAGAAAAGAATCAAAATGGAAAGTATTTTTAGAAGTTTTTAACTCTGAAACTTTAAAAAAAAAATAGACACATTATTTGCTTTTGATAATAATACAGCATGTTATCTAATTTTTATATAAAATAATTCAGACAAGAATGAAACTAGCATACATTACTAGGAGAAAAACAACCTCAAAGTAAGAAATTTGATTGTCTAGTTGTTTAATAATATGATGGCAAATAGAGAACAATTAAATGTTCCATTAACCACAAATGCTAAATCATAATACTTACCCCACTGAGTGGGTAATTGTCATCAGCAGACATATCGTCCAATATGAGGCTACTGTGACTTTCTGATTCCCTGAAACCATTAACCATTAATGTAAAAATATGTTAAATATTTTATAATTATAGAATAAAAATGAAACATATGGCATTAAATTAAATTTTAAAACATAAAACAGTAATAAAAAATGTTTGTGATTCCATAATTAGTTTTTTTTTCTATTAGTTGACAAGAGTTCATTTGATAAGAAATTGATCAAAAGATTTTTGAACCAATCTTATGTGCAATTAATACTTATATGTTGAAATATATTATTGATTTATAATTTCCAAAATAAAACATTGAATAACTCGTGAAACGAAAAAAATTCCAGCTTAATGAATATAAAATAAATAAGAGATTTGACAGATCAAAAGTAAAATAAAATATACAATATAATAAGAGCTAAGAAATATCTGAATTAAATTTACCATAATGCAAAATATTAACAATATTATAATGATTTTTTGAAACTTTTTTATTCACTGTACAGACACAAATGATTTTCAATCATGTCTGGTACAACTCATCACAGATAGAAGGTGGTTTCCAGCAGTAGAATATTAGAGAAAAAATCAAGCTATGCAAAATTGTGAGCAATGGTATATAGGAATGACTTTAAAAGACAATTCATTAAACTTAATTCAATTCAAATTTCAATTTAATTAAATCTAAATTAAAAATAGCTACTTCTATCTCAAATCAAACTAAAACTCTCAGTAATAAGATTGATTTTGACGATTGATAATAACATTATAATCAATATAAATTGCTATAAATCAGGAAAAGATACCATGATCTATTCATCGGGTTTTCGGCCTTATATGTGGTCTCTTGCCTACTATTGAGGCACTCATTTTTGTGAAGAGAGGGTTCCAGATGGATTCCTCTGAGCTATATGCCCCACTTATCTTAACCTCCTTGCCTTCATATCATGAGATACTGATTTACCAGTTTCTGTTAGCATTTTTTTAATGGATCTTCTCCTCCATGTGTTAGTACTCTGATCCCTGATAGCTCCAGTTATTGTCAAGAGGATTTTTCTCTCAAATCTTTCTAGGGTACTGCTTAGTGTCCCGGAATCACTGCTTTTTACCATAACTGGCTTTATCATAACATTGTACACCCTTAATTTGAAATGTCTAGGGATTTCAATACTTTTGAAAGCGAGAAAAAAGTAAAATTATTTAATTTATCTAATTATTAACATTTGTTTTTCTTAAACAATTCAGATTATGAACTGTAATATTTCATATTACTAATTTCAACCTAAAAACAATTTTATGTATGAATCAAGACAATAAATCATGTTTAATTTATTGATTTTTAAATACAAAGACTAAAAACTAAAGGTATGGGATGGTATTATTTAGCATGACCACTTCCAAACCATTTTATATAATGAATTGTTAATGTTATAATTTAATGTTGTATTTAAATTTTTAAAAAAATCTTAAAATGTAAATAAAAATATACAACAGACTGTTGAATGATTGAATGAACGTTTATATAAATCAAGCATGATTAATGTATTTCAAGACCATCAATCATGAAATTCATGAAAATTTGTATCAATTTATTAGATTAAATTTAATATGATTAAAATCAGCTAGAACATGTTATATTTGGTCAGTTTTTATAATAATTTTTACATTAGAACACTTATTGAGAAAGGCTTTACATCATGCTATGGCTCATAAGAACAGGTCAGTAACCATAATTTATGGTTAGTAACTAAATGTTATTAATCTGGAAAACTATAGACAATTATGCTATCACAGGTTCTCGTAAATGCCATTTGCAGTCATTATAAATAAGGGGCAAACTTTCAAGCATATTAGAATCAATCTAAAATAATATTGTTTTTGTTTTTTAAGAACAACTATGTGTTATCTTTTATAAAACCAGGGCTGCGGATAAAACTAATATAAACTTATATAATTGAGATAAAGAACTAATTGTGGAGTACAGGTAATTAATTTTTGTAATATAATTAATACAATTGTAGTAATTAATCAGTATTTGTAATACAATGAGTAATATTTTTCATTCCATTTAGCTTTGAATGTACATTGTCTTTTTGAAGATTCAAAACTCTGTGTATGTAATACTACAACTACTCATTATCATAGGAGAATAAAGCAACCCCAATCGTCAATCTGCTCTCAGTCTGAGTAGTAAGGGGAAAATAGGGGAACCATTGTGAAAAAGATATAAATCACTTGTAATTGAGACTCGGATCTGAACTACTTAAGGCAACCTTGGAATGGCAGAGCTGGAATGGTTAGATAAAAAAATTATTTTACCTTTCAAAAGAATTCAAAAGAAAACCCTTGTTCACTTAGCCAACAATAGAAAAACAATTAGAACAATTATATTAACAAATATCCTAATGACTCAATGGATCAACCTCCCCTCCCCTCTATATAACTATTAATGGTTATTTTATTATTGAAGGTTAAATCT